CCCGGCGCTCCAGGTGCTGGAAATGTTCCCCACCAGTGGCTGGGCGTGGCCTTCAGAGTGGTTCCTTATCCTGTCATATTCCAAGAACTCACTGCACCAGGCTGATCTGATGGCTGATCTGACTCTCAGGCTGATCTGATGGCATTTCGCCCTGGGAAATCCTGGCCCCACTGATGTCAGTGTAACCTCCCCCCTTCTGCAGTGGGGCCAGGATGCTAGTCCTGGCATAAACGCTGGCAGAATCCGACTCGTATATTTCTGTTAAAAAAGCGACACACGTATCCGTAGGCACAGCATTCGGGGCTGTTAAATAGATCCCAAACCTGGATGTCGATGGGGATGGGTTAAAAACAATTGGTGGCTGGTTTTTAATGAAACCTCCCCGACATGTCCCAGCAAGAGTGAAAGTGCCCAGCCTGGCAAGACATGCCCCAAAAAGGCACTGGGCTGCACAGAGGGTGAGAACCATCGCTGGGCTGCTGGTGCTGCTGTTTCTTCACCTTCCCAGTTGCTGAGAGTCACTTAGAGTATGTCTACACTACAAGAGGATTTTGAAAAAGTTATTTTGGAATAATAACTCCCACAATAACTATTTCGAAATGGCATGTCCACGCTACAGGAAGCCTCAAAACTAGTCCAAGGCAGGCTCCCCTAATATGGACCTGCGGTCTCAATTTAGAGCCCCAGGAAGCACTGGGGAATAATTACTTTGACTGGCCCTGGGGAGGAGCTATTTCAAAATAGCAGCAGTGGAGTGGCTACACTACTGCTATTTCGAAATAGATCTTTCGAAATAATGGGCTTGCTATGTGGACGCTCAGCTTGTAGTTTCGAAATAACGCTGTAGTGTAGACATGCCCTTAGCATGCCAGGCTTTGGAACAAGCGTGGTTGATTTTGATGTTGTGGTTTTAATGTAAGGATTTTCCAAAACTGCCTGGAACGTTGCTGTTAAAACTAGGGCACGTTCCTGACATGGTTCAGAAAATCTCTGCCCACGTCATGGTCATTTCTGTGACGGGTCATGGCACAAGGGGGTGTTTCCCCAAATTAAATCGGACGAGCACAGTAGAGTGAGTAATGTGATGTAACACTTTTGTACAGATAAGCCCCAGATAGAGACAGCCACTCTACATCAATGTGTAAATGATTAGCCTCTTCCTATAGACATTGGATCAGATCCTTATCTGGTGTAACTCAGCGTAGCTCCTTCAGAGTTACAGCTGTAAAGATGAGCCGTCTAGCCTGAAGCTGTGTTACTCTCAGTCCGTTACTTGTTCCATAGAAGTAAATGAGCTTGCTCCTGTGTTTAGCATTAAGCCGAACAAAGGTGGTTTCGGGTCTCTCCTCAGCAAAGGATCTGATCCTGTCTACACACGTCGCTGTGCGGCGATCTAGAGAGATGTGTGATGTGGTGTAAAATCCCCAGAGATCATCCCCAACCTTTGTAGCCATTTCATGTTGCGCGTTAGAGTGGGAACCAGTTTTCCGAAGTGGAAGGTCTGTGTGGAATGTTTTAGGAGGCCAATGTTATAAACATTTCCTTTTTGGCATTCTTGCCCAGCTGGCTCATAACTCCGCCTGTGGATAAAGTGGGTGTTGCTTGGGCGACAAGTGAAGGGTTAATGCCTGTTTTTTTTTTTTTTTTTTTTTTTTTTTTTTTCCAGCTCTGGAGAGCACAGTTCACATTTGGTCACAAAGCAGCAGCAATACAGCTTGACAGACTGCTCCAGGGAGCATGGGGAGCGGAATGGAGGAGGGGCGAAGGGGTCAGGATTGAGCGGCGCCCGCCCAGTCTGAGGTTCCCATTTGTAGACCCCAGAGCTATGTGAGGCCTCTGGGTTTACATAGGGATGATTCTTGCAGATCTCAAGTCTCCCCTGTTGCCATGGAAACCCTGGTGCATGCTGGGAGCAGGGTAAGGGGTGGGTGGGACCCATTTTGCATGGCTGTGACATCACAAGGAGGTTCCCGTCCTAGCAAAGAGCATTTCCATGTGTGGGTTCCCCGTTGGCCTGCCTATAATGCCACACTGCTGTACAATGGCTTTTTATACTCACTGCCTGGACTACTGGGCACAGGGCTGGGGCAATGGGGAAGCCCCCAGTGGGAAAACTGGCAGAACCATGGAGGGAAGGAGCATCGGGGGGGGGCACAAGGCGTTGAGGTGTCCCCATGTGTAGGATGTGTGTCTGGGGACTGCGCTGATCATATCTTTCTCAGAAAATCTCTCTCTGTCTCTTACACCCCTTCCCCACCTCACCCCTTTTGGCCCTAGGGAAAGGACCAGACCCTGGAGGTTGCACATGCTCCTGGGCTGCATGGGGGCAGTTTTCAGGTACCATAGAAAGCCCGTCTTGGTGATGCTCCGTAATGCGTCCACCAATGTCCCCTCTAATTTTTTCCATCCATGTGTGGAATACATTTTATGTGCACTGAGGCATGCGCACCATCAGGAGAAACCCATGTTGCCAGCTGTGGGTGTGCTGCCAATCAGGTGGGTGGCATTTGACTCTCTCCTGGGTGGCTGCTCAAGTGCTCAGCTTACAGGGAACACTGGTGTCCACCCTCCTCAGGACCCTGATGGGGCTTGTCCCAGGTGTTGCCCTTGCAGAGGCTCATGGTGCCCTGTGCATGCTTCCCAATTAGAGGCAGAGATGGGTATCAGGTGGACCTTTAGCCCCTTTTCCCTCAGTGGGCCTGAGGACTGACCCCGCATGCCAGCACAATCAGTCCCCTCTGGTTTGTGACCCCCCCATGGGCCTGTGTGGAGACTAGTGGCAGAGTTTGCCCATGTGTCTGACTGCATGATCCGCACCATGGTACGGAAGGTTTTCAGCTTCAAGCCCAGTCATGCGGCAGTTTGTAATTTTGTGTGTGTGGCTTCCTAGTCAAACATTGTCTTCAGGGAGCATCCCAGGGTCATGCCAAAATCTGCCAGCAGCGCTGCAGAGCGGGAAAACGTGAAAGGGAAAAACCCTCTGTTGCCAGCGGCTGGCTTTGCCAGGACTAGGGGGAAGCCCCACCAGGTGGAGATGGAAAAACTTGAACAATCCAAACAGCAATTCCATTGCACTGGTAGATTTCATCCTGCTAGATACTCACATTTCCAAACCTGTGCATGTGAATTTCACCTGCTAGTCAGTTTCACTTTCAGGTTTCTCCCTTGCTGCTTTGGATTGCCAGGGCACAGAGAGGGAGCAAAGCTGCAGATCATTCAGAGGTGAATTGCATTCCCTTCTCCACACATTGGAAGATTGACTTTAAAATTGTGACTTTTTTAAAAGAATACATTTAGATTCTGCCTATTTGCCTCCTGGATTGAGTCTTTCAGGGTCAGTTTTCCCTCCCCAGTTACAAAGACTGGAACCATCCTTGTTTTTAAAACGAGTCTTAGGCAAGCTAGGGCTTTAGGGGCCAGTTATTGCAAGGTGGGGGTGGGGGAATGGGATGTTGATTTGTTTAAAAGACATCTAAGCTTTATTCCAAGCCGGGAGGGACCCCTGTGATCATCTATTCTAGTCTGACCTGCTGTGTAACCGGCCTAGAGCAGATCTTTTAGAAAAACATCCAATCTACATGTAAAAATGTCCAATGATGGAGACTCTACCATGACCCTTGGCAAATTGTTCCATTTCTCTGCACAGCCCTGAATAAACCTTGGAGACACTCCAGGGGCGTCATGAATGAGATTGGGGCTGGGCCCAAGTCAGTTCAGATCAAGCCATGGAAAGTTTCATAGTGATTGTACAGAATGTGAGCTGCTGTTTTGCTGCTGCCCTGTGTCTCCTGCACTCATTTACACTAGTTCACAGTGGGCTGGGAAACACTACGGGGGTGAGCTGGGAGTGACACTGCGGCAAGTGACTACACCAGGTACAAGCCAGCAAAGACTTGATAGGATGTTATATGACCGTATCTCATTTCTATCCAGTGACACTTAGACCTCTGGGAACCTTTCCCCCTGCCAACCCAAGATCTTCAGGACACATTGGGAGTTGGCAGGAGCCCTAGTGATGGGAGCCCTGGGGTTGCATTGAATTGCACTTCTGTGAAGCAGGGCTCGTGGCCATGCATGCCGTGGTGAACTGTGCAGCAGTGCTGGGAGTCCAGTGTTGTAATCCTAAGCCACTGACCTGCCCATTCCCAGAATGCTGGCCAAATGCACTCAACCCCAAACACATGCTCTCTGCTTTGTCTGTAGAATCAGCAAATGACCCTGTCCCAGCAGGGAGATGCCAATGGGTCTCACTGATACCAGGTTCCTAGGTCACCCCAAGCCTTCTCCCTGTGATGTGCCCAGGGATGGGGAGGGAGACTTAGTTTGGGGGGTTTTATGCTGCTTTGGATTTAGGGGGAATTTTAGTTCATTCTCCTTTGCCTCTAGCGGGTGGGGTGGTTTTTCCCCTCGAATGCCGCACTAATCCATCTCCCAGCTGCCCATCCCCTTGTGCCTTGAGGCTGGTGAGTGTCAGATGGGGGCTCAAGGCTGGAAGGGGAGGGGGGAATAGAGATTTGCTCCAAGCCAGGGCACTAACCAGTAACTCCAATAAGGAGCCAAGGGGGGACATAGAGCCCGAGCCCGCCAGCTGGGTACCTCTGGCCTAGGTGTGCTGGGGGTGGGATTGCTCATGTGCATTTGGTTGGGGGGGGGGACTTGTCCAGGGTGTGACTGCAGAGGGGACTCGGCCCAGTCTGGGGAAGGGCTGGCTGGGGAGACAACTCCATCTGGCTCTGGCTGCAGAGGGTCCCCTGCAATTCCATTTCTGCCAGACACACACGTAGCTGCCATCTGGCACCATTAGCCCCTCGTCAGCTGGAACAGGCCATGGGATCTTTGTGCTGCCAGCTCCATGCTGCTCCTCCCCCCTCCCCCAGCTCCTTTCTGGGAGTGCTTTGCTTCTGGCTCATGGCACTGAGCTCTGAGCTGCCCTGGCATTAAGAAGCTGGACTT